ATTCACGTTAAGCAAAATAATGAAGTAATAAAATTTTGCATTCAAAGAGCTGATATGGGACACTTTTTAATAAAAGTAATGATAGCATAAGGTCATGCAGAATAATTCTTGTTGGACAGGCTTGGTATCTTGATTAGCCAACAAGTTTTGTTTGTGAAGGTTTTGATTGAAGAATATATTTATATTCTCAAAAACACTTGACTTAGTGTTACACATCTTAATTAAAAACCAAAATGAAATACAAACAAAAAAGTTTTTTATTAAATATTATCCAGTGGAATTCTAGAGTAGGGAATACTCATTAGCTGTGTAATCCCACTATGATCCACAGATGATTTATTGCTATATTATCTAACTATTGGTCATGGCAGGTAATAAAAAGTTAGACTTGAGTTTTTTATTTGATTGGATGGCCAAAAAGGGCTGTTGTGTGGAGTGGGTTGGGGAGAAAAGAATCTTTAAACCAGAGCAGAGAAATTATATTGCCTCTGGATTTGGAAAAATTACTAAAAGTGTTGGGGGATTTGCTATGTGGAAAAGCTTGGTTAATTTTTAAATATATTTATTTTTAAAGAAATATTTTAGTTTAATTAGAAATTATTTTTTGAGCTCTGACCTGTATAACCCATAAACAGTGTAATGCAAAGGTTTTTACTAACCTGATATATCTGACTTTAATAAAATGGAGCACTGTATGAACTCAGCAGATTATTTCTTTAGAATAGAATGTATATCTTGATGTTTTTAATAAAGTGCACAACGCTGCATTTCTATACCTACACTGAGATTACAAATGTTTTAATTCAGGTAAAACGGGTTCTCTTGGTGGAGAAGCTTCTCCTGTTTCAACCACTGAGGAGTTTGCGCATGTAAAAAGCTACAGTCGTGTTCCTCCTGAAGAAAGCAGGTTACCTTCGAGCATAACAAACTGTGAGGAACAGATGCCAAATGGAAGCCCAAGGCAAAGTAAACAGTCAAATAGCTTATTACAAGAGGTGCTGATGATGACTGCTGAAAATTCGTGTGGTTCAGGTAAAGAATTCCTCTTTCTTTGAGATGTTATGTGAATACCATTCAGCACTGCTAATTTTACTGCTCTTTATTTGTGAACTGGTCTTAGGCAGACAAAGCAAGCAGATTACTGAGATGTTTTTCAAGAGTTTGAACTAACAAGTGGATGTCAAGGTTTTTCATTCCTACTCTTTTTCCCTGGTGGTACGAGTTAGTCTCTGAATAATGTTAACTCGGAGGCTCCAGTACTTTCAGCTGCAATGTCCTTGCTTCTTTTCAAATTCCCTGAAGGAATCCAGTTTATCATCACTATAATTGAGAAATGCTATGTATGACTTCCCAGGATGGCACCATCTCATGGTCCAGTACAGTTTTCAGTGTCCATCCACAATAAATAAATTGCTAGAGGAGCAAAGGAGTTTTCAGCAACTTTGCTGCCTTTTGTACATCTTCACGAGCAGTACAGCTATGTAGTGTACACCTCCTGGTTTTGCTAGAAATTTCACTGCTGCCCCAAATCGTCAGATAACCTTTCGTTAGTTTACATTGAGACATCCTTTTCAATTCAGTCAGGATTTACTAGAAATTGAATTTGTTTTGAATAAGTACACATAAGCTCATTTTCTTTCAACTGCTTCCTTTAATTCTCAGAATACTCTTTTTGAAATGTATCTGTTTAAACTTCAATTGGCACTAAATAATTTTCTTTTTTAACGATATTCAAAGAAAAGGCTTGTATTTTCTAAGCTGTAGAAGCATTGCTAGATCAGCCGTTACCAAATTAATATAAAGTATCTTAATGTCTTTTTACATTAGTGAGCATTATATATGAACAGTGCAGTGGTTTATGTAAGAGGATTAGAAAACTTCATATGAACATCTATATTAAAAAAAAGGCAAAAAGCGCAAAGCTTTCTGTATTATGTACTTAAGAGGATTGTCCTCTTGAGCCGTTCAGCTACCAAAACTCTATCTTTGTAATATGAAGGCTGTGAAGCTCTCTGTGGTGCAGTATCTTCAGCAGTAGTCTGTGTTAAATATAGAATTTCTGAAGGGGAAATTTAAGGTGCATCTTAAGTTGTTACTTATGTTAGTAGCCGTGATTTTTTATTTTAATTTAATTGTTTAGGGTTTTTTATTTTTGTTGCAACTTGATTCTGACCAGAACATGTCTTCAGGCTTCCTATATTTTCAAGATGTCGTATCTCTAAAGGTGAGAGCAGAGGAGTGCTTTGCACATGTGATCTTTCTCCTTATTCTTTCAAGTTACATTCCTGGTGGGTTTTACCTTCAATCAAATAATGTAAAGCTTTACAACTTTTGAGTTGTGCTGCTTTTGTGATTACAAAACCGCTGGATGTGCATAAATCCTATTAATAACTGCTTACATGCTTTTTCAAAATGAAGCATTAAAGGTTCTTAAAAAGATAAACTTGGCAAGTCTGCTTGGCTACTTTATAAAGAAAGGTGAGTTTCCTTTGATATGAGACTTGTCTTTGGGTAACAGGCAATTACTTTTTCAAAAAATTTCTATAATTAGCTATATTTCTTTCTTCTGATTATTACAAGAAGAAAAGTAACTTTAACCCTCTCAAATTTAGAGGCAGACATGTCTGAATGTAAAGTGGGTCTTAAGGGCTGCCTCTGGTTAGGAGAGGTGGCATCCCTGTGCTCAGTACTGGGTGGTTACAGGTGCTGCACACACCGATCAGCTGGTGGCAGGCAGAGAGGACAGGACTGCTGAAGTGATGCTGCAGAAGTGCCACCGACGAGGCTGAGACTTGGATTGCTCTCTTACCATGCCACTGATGTATGACAAGATGAGTTAGGAAGATTGGACACTTGATATTTCTTCTTCCCAATCCAATTGTGTTAAAATGCAGCAATATAGCACAAATTGTTAATATGGAATTGCAGAGCAACCCTATAGATGAGACGAGCAGTTTGGTGGCATAAACCAAATTTCCTCAGGAAGTCAGCCTGAACATAGTGGCTAGATTTGATACATACTTCTCTCACACCACTTCTTTACATACCAGCAGGCTTGTCTCTCTTTAGTCATCTTGAGCAGTGTTCCAGATATAATAATCTTTGTGTATTGCTGCCCTATACAGAGATGTTATTCCAAGCATAATTATGTTTTGTGTGATCCAAGCTAACCTGAGTTTTCAATGTATTTCTAGTAATCCCAGATATTTGTCCATAATTCATTATTGTGATGGATTGTCTTATCCAGCACCAATTTAGCCAAGCTAGCATGGAGTACAGCTTTTGTTTGTCTACACGATTGGATCTGGACTAATCCTTGTTTCAATATTGTCTTCACCGAGTGGTTTGTCATACCCTCTTTTCTCTTTCAAATTGCACCCTAGAATGATTGTTGCCATTTTACTGCAATTTCTTTTGGAAAAAAAATGCATTCTGGGTATTACAGCCTCAATTCTGAAATACGAGTTCTTCTCCTTCTAGAAGGTTAGAGCATGAAAGTCCCATGCCACTATGGGGAAGCCGTGAGGAGCAAGAACCTTGCATTATTTTGGAGGGAGGAGAGAATAATAAAACTCCCTTCTTTGAGTCACCAAATATAGGGGTTTTGGTTTTGCCTTTTTTTTTTTTAACGGATATTAATGTAATAAAGTCACAGGATATGAGCATGTTGTGATTTTAATTAAATAATTTGGTTTACAGCATGAAATCGCTACTGTTCATCCCTTGTATTAATATCACAAGAACAGTGCAGGTTATTACAGTATAGTCATGAAACATTTGTAGCATAGCTCTCCATAGAATTTCTATACAAGAGAGTATTAAATGCTTGAGTCTTATCTCATATGTATCCTAAATTACCTGTCACACTGATACCTTTAGAAAATAAAATCATTTCTTTCAGAAGAATATTTAATCTTGATGTAAAGGTATCAGGAAATAGAGATTTCTTTGGTAGCTTGTTCCAGCATTTACTTTTTTATCAAATTATAAAATAAATTGTCTGTTTCCAGGTTTTGAATGTCTGAAAGCAATTTGTAACCACTGCTTCTTGTTAGTACTTTCTTTGAGTTTAGGTATCAAAGGATATCTGTGCATTTGTATCTGTGCATTTTTTTTTCTCCTGTGGAGATACTTAAATACCAGGATTCAAGCAATTGTCTTCAAGGCCTTCGTCACTTTCAGGATCCTCTGTCTCCTGTATTCTGCTCCAAAGAAGGGCAGACCTCTGCAGTGTATCCAGGATATGTAGTGTCTCACTGCTGCCACATTCAACCAAGGAGCTTGTTGCCATCTTGTTCTACTCAAACCTTAAAAGTTATTTTTCCTGTGAACCTGGAGACCTCTGTCACATACTTGTAAGAAAAGGATCAGAAACCAAGGTCTTGTGCTCTTGGATTTATAATTTTATCTGTATTGGGCCAGTGGTGTTTAACAGACGAGCTTTGCAGGAGTTTGAGGTAGTTTTTACCATTGCAGTGCTACTGCATTTCTTTACAGTTCTTCCACACTTCATATTATTTGCAGACTTTATTGCCAACAGCTCTGTTGGGTTACTGATAAAAATGTCATAAACTATCAGGATGAAGGCTGCTAGAAGCTTCTGAGGAATTGGAGTGTGAAGCCGTTGGAGAATTTCTTTACCCTTTGAGATCACTCAGAATTTTATATAGTAACATAGTAAATTAATTTAGAATAGGTTAACTTGTCTTTTAATCCAAATAAATATATTTTAGATGTATTTTATGTCTTGTGCTTTCTCCTAGAAGAGTACTGGATGGTAGTGGCTATAGGAAATCTTAGATTTAGTTTACCCCTGACTCTGTGAAGTGAGTTTCAAAGTGTTTGGTATTGATTGAGATACATAAGTATCACATCATATAGATTCTTCACTGGTGGTGCCTCACCGAGGAAACCTCTCCCCCCCCCCAGTAGGTCTAGTAGGAAAAATGGAACCACCAGACTTCACGTTCCAGTAAGAAATTGAGTACAAGGTATAAACTAGTGTTAGGTTTCACAAAATGTTACAAGATCTGCTTGAGTCAAGTCTTACAAATGCAGGGGATTTGAAACAACTCTGTCACTAGAAGCCTGTGTAGAATTGGTAGAAAACGTACCTACTTTGCTTCATTTCAGTTTGATATTTAGCACTTCTTTCTTGAAAATTATTACTGGAAATAATGCTAATTTTAGAGTTGTTTGTCGGCAATTAATTTGCAGTCTTAGAATTGTCAAACTTTTGAAGGTGTTTGTCAGCACTGAATGCAGAAATTGCATTTTTCTGGTGCTGCTGTGGTGGCTCTTTTGCAGAGATGCTGATCTTTTCAGCGGTGCACTGTGACAGGACAAGAGGCAATGGGTACAAACTGGAACAGAGGAAGCTCCATCTGAACATAAGAAAAAACCTATTTCTTGTGAGGGTGACAGAGCACTGGACCAGGCTGCCCAGAGAGGTTGTGGAGTCTCCTTCTCTGGAGACATTCAAAACCCACCTGGATGTGTTCCTGTGACCTACTCTAGGTGATCCTGCTCTGGCAGGGGCGTTGGACTGGATGATCTTTCGAGGTCCCTTCCAACTCCTAGCACTCTGTGATGCTGTGATCTTGCTCATTTTTATGTGTAAGAGCACTATGGCAAAGGTGATTCAGTTCTGTGATATTAGTCGTGCAATTCAGTGTTTCTGATTTCTCTGATCTACTTAAGATACCTGTTTTTCTTTGTAATGGTAGAAGGCAAAAGATTCCCCTCACCCCAATTAAATGATTGTTGTCATTCTAGCAAGACCAAAGCATGACTTTCTAGCTCTTCTTGCATGCTCTCCAGAGAGCCATCATGCTAGTTAGACATTTTAGGAAGGCTGGTCAAGGAGGACCACTGGCTGCCAATTAAATTGGTGGAACAGTGTAGCACAAAGTACATTGTAGGTGAGAAGAAAGTGGTAAGGATGGGCAAAATCAGTGCTCCAGTAGTAAGGACAGCAGCCGTAGAGTATCACTGCCACCTGGTGTTCAAAAAGAATTGCTAACTATGACCTTGGAATTTGCTTTCTGTTCCTCATTGCTTCTATTACATTTGTGTTCAGCCCAGTCACAGGATTCTGAAGTGTCCCAAGATTCACCAGGTTTTGCAGCCGAAATTAGAGAGGGAGTTACAACGCGTTCTGGACCATCATTCCGACTTGATAATATGGTTAGTCATGTCAAAATAACCATGTAACAACTTACTTTGTGATTAAATCTTTCTGTCTCATACTGGGATCTAACGCTCTGGTATTCTAGACGCAGCAGCGTAACAAGCACCAAGAGAGTAGATCGCTGTGATCAGTGGCTCTGTTCCTGGTCATACAGCACAGGATGCTGTTGCCCCTCTTTGCTGCCAGGACACGCCGTGGGCTCACACTCGGCTCACTGCGTGCCGAGACTCCGGGGTCCTTCACAGGGCTGTGTCCCAGGCAGGCCTCAGCTTGGACTGGTGCATGGGCTTCTTCCTTCCCAGGTGCTGGACTTTGCATTTATTCTTGTTAAGTTTCCTGTAGAGCAGCCTCATGAAGTCCTTCTAGATGCCAGCCCTGGCATTTAGTGTGTCAGAGGGTTCTCCCAACTCGGTGTTATCTGCAAACTTGAGAAAAGAATGGTCACCTCTGGGTCATTGCCAAAGGTCTTAAAGAGGACAGTTCCTAGGACACAGCCCTGACCCGCTCCACTTGTTCCCCACCTTTAGGTAGAGTGTAACCCTTTAATCACTGTCCTCTGAGCTTCATTGTTTAGCCAGATTTTACTCATCTCATCCATCTATCCAGGCTGTGACATTCAGACTGGGATACAGGAATGTTAGGAGAGACAGTGTCAAAAGCCTTGCCAAAATCAGCACCAACGGTATCCCATGCTTTTCCGTTACTCAGAGATCCCATCATTTTTTCAAGAGATGAAAACAGTACTTAAAATATGCTATGTATAACGTGTATATATGTATATAAAATTACTTTTAATTTTTTTTGTTTTATGTGGTTTTTTATGTATTTGTTTAAGTATATATGTCCCTCTGAGATCTACAATTCTACTGAAGTGGGTCTGTGATGAGAAATAGCCAAATCTGACCACCAGAAGATAAAATAATCTTCCAGGTGTCATGATTTGTATGCAGTTCTGAGAGGCTTTATAATTGTATAAGTGTGTGTGTGTGTGTGTGCGCGCGCGCGCGTGCGCTGAGGGGAGGGGGCTGTTGGGGAGTGGTGTGTCTGGGACACGGAGTGCGAGTGTTTTGTACTGAGCAGTGATGAGTCTGTGTTTGCCTGACTGTGCAAAACATGAAGGCTTCTACACTTGAACTGAGCTCAGAATGAAATGTGTGGCTGTAGAGCTTTGATTATGGATATCTGAGTACGTGGTAATAGCTATGTTATTTCATCCTAGGAAGTACTTTCTAAAGTAGTGTCCACGAACTTAGGTTCAGAGTCCTTCATGCAAGGAGCACCCTGTGACTTATCTTCTATTTCCACTGGAAGCCTTTTGACTAGTGAAACCTCGGATTTTAGCCCTGTTGATGCTGGTAAGTGTTTGGGTTTTGTTGGTGTTCTTGTGAAAGGAAAATTGTGTACTCTCTTTATTTTATAGAAGAACAGGTATAACTCACCAGACGTAAGTTCTTCTGAAATAGGCTAATGTGGAACTTCACTTAAGAATGATTAATATGTCTTATGGAGTTAAGTATGACTAGAATATTTCATAATTTTTTAATTTTTATAATAATTTAATCTTAACACATCTGCTTCAACAAAAGATATTTTGAGTTTTATTAAGCAACTGTAACACTAGCAGTTTTCAAGTTGCAATTTAAAAATTGATCCTCAAATAATATACTGATGAAAGTTTTCTAATCGGTATGTATCATAGATTGTGATGGAGCTGTGACTGTTGTCTTGCTCTTAAGAGAATTGTTCCAATATCTGCTTGTAACACAGTATATCTTAACTTACTTGTGGAAATGCCATTTGAATGCCATATTGACTTTTAATAGTTGTCTGGGAAATAGGTGTTTGTGTCCTTTTTTGGTTGCAGTCTGCCTCTTGTTCTTAAGTTAGCTTTTCATAAAATAAAAAAGAATTCCTTTATCATAAATACATAGCTGCACCTCTGTATGCTGACATCATCACTTGTGAACACGGGAGGTGAGTTTGAAAGTGATTATTTAGTGACCTGTGAATTTCTTTAAGGCTTAATATTGTGTTAATTTGACACACATCTGATCTCCTAAGCAACCATGTGTATATATGAGTTATTCCATGTTTACAAATCAATTTTTGAAGACTACGGTTTTTGAGCCACTGAAGTCTCAGGCTGTATTTTAACCCTAATGTTGTAAACTGGTAAGAGTTATTTTGAGTAACAAACTCCACAACTCATGTGACAAATCTGTTTTATGGATGTAAGAAAGCTAAGGCAAATTCTAAGATCATTTGTTTGTAGCTTTTCTGTAGTTTTTTAGTTGAGGAAAAATACTGAAGGTTCCAGTTCCTCAGCTACATGAATAAATTTGTCAAGTCTGGCTGTGTCTTCACCGTACACTCAGTGCCTAATAATGGCCTTTTCTGAGAGCTTTGCGCAATTCTTCAGTAAGTGTATAGACAAGAGGAGTTGGTGCGCTAACCTGGGGATAAAGTTTTGGCTTCCTTGGTTCCCTCAGATTTTTTGTGTTGGCATTAGGCAATTTCTCTTTAAGCATGAATAAAAGTACTGCACGATGTCATAAAGATACTCAAGATAGCATTAAAGTATTGACACATTTATAAGTGATAAGAGGTAAAAATATGCTAGCTAGCCAAAAATAACAGTATTTATTCTTTTCTGATGTTATTGTTTCAGTATTTCCTAAGTCTACATACCCTAATAATGCTAAGCTGTACTGACTGCTACCTAATTGGATATTATCAAATTTAATTTGTGGAAGTTTGCAGTAAGGTTTGTGGAAATGTTAACAGGAGACAATTAAAAAACCAAAACCCCAGAGCTCTTTACAAATATTTCAGGATACTAGCAGTATCTTTTCAGTTGACTTCATGTAAGTGGTTTATATGCAAAACTGAACGTCCAGCTTCCTATTTCAGGATTGTCTTCTGCTGGTACGGAAGGTCGAATTTTGAGAGAAACAGCAGGCCGCCCTTGGAACTCCTCTCTGCTTTTTGCCGTGCGACGGAGGCAAGAGAATTTGTCTGGTGCATCTGAAACTGGAAGAGAGATGCATCATCGTAAAGGAAGTCGGATACAGCAGATCTTAGGGAAAAGTATTGAAAACTTGAACTCCTTCTCAGAGGACAATACACGTTTCCAAGGTATTTGCCACTTTAAAGCATTTTTGTGCTGCTCTCTCATACAGAATGAGGAGGAGCTTACTCAGTGTTTTGTGTTAGTTTGTGTTATTAATATTCAGTTTACATTTTAACGTGGATAAGGATCTACGTGTGAGAACTTTGATGCTTTGATGTACATAAAGCAAAAGCATGAAGAACATGTCCACATAGCATAGCGTAGCGTAGTGCAAAAAAAACCAGAGTCTGTTATCTATCTGATCAGTCTAGGTCTGCACAGTTTCCTGCTACTATGGCTAGACTGTTATCTGTGCCAATTTTATTGCTTGTTTATGCACAACTTTATCTTCAGAAAGGTAGAGACAATGAAATATTATATTTTATTATTCACGTAGGGTCACATAGTTGATGACCCACTGATGAACAGACAGGTGGGAGTTGCGTTCTCTAGAAAAATGTAGTGATTCATGAAAATAAGAATATCTTTATTAGCTATCACGAAGGTAATGCCAGTATTTTAATTTGAACCACTTCCTCCTGGAACGTTTGAAAAGCTGGACTCCTAGAGTAATCTAGACTGGGAGGGACTTCTGGTTATGTGATCCAAATTCTCCTTCTTGCTTACAGCAGAGCCAACGTAGACCAAGTTGCTTAAGGCCTTGTCCAGGCAAGTTCTGAGTATCTTGAAGGACAGAGATTCCACGCCTCTCTGGGCAACATTTTAACAACTTTTCTTTTTTCATTGTATCCAACCAAAATTTCCTGTTTACATCTTGTGTGCATTCTCCTTTATCTTCTCTCTGAGCATCATGTGCTTCATCCTTCCTGTAGTCATCCTTTTGGCCATACATGGGACTTGCTCTGCTGTGTCATTGTGTGTTCTGAACAGGGAAGCCCACACCACTTCTGATGCAGTCTCAAACATCCTGAACAGATTGCTTATGGACTTGCAAATTTTTCTTCATTTTCAAGTGAAAAATTGATCTATGTAGAACTTTCTTGCTGCTTTTTGTACCTGCATTACATCAGAGTAACAGAATTGGATGTTACAAAGATTTTGTTTTTTACAAGCTACTACTCATCTACCTGCAGAATTCTATATGCTTTAATTACTGCATATAGAAGCAAGGCGTGGTATGTCCCTTGGTTTCTTGAGAGAGGTTGATTTTGGTTTTTTTTGTTTGCTGGTTTTAAAATAACCTCTTTTTCTTATAGCTCTAGCAGCTGAACTTGATTTTCCTGAAATGGAGAGACATTTTCCAGACTTACGTCAACAGCTCTTTCAGCCTTTGGAACCGAGTCTTGACTCTGATACTTCATCATCCTGTTCTCAATACAGAATTTCACAAGACAGTAGAGAATTTAGCAAGGTACTACAGAAAAACTCCAATGAGGCTTAAGATTTCTGTAAAATTTGTATGTGTAATCGCTATACTGTCTTCTGTTTCTTCTAAACACAGTAATTTTTGATGTACTTAGAAGTGGAAGTGTTTTTGATGGTTGTAGCAGAAATGTGATCCAGAATTCAAATATTACCTTTAACTTTATCCTTCATTTTCTCAGAAAATTAATCTTAAATCAAGATTTATTTTTTTTCTGCCACTAGACTTCAAAATTTTCGAGAGCAAGTCAAGACATGTCTGCATTTCTAGAAGTGGGAAACTCCAGTTTGGATATACCAAGAGGCAATCTGCCTTCTAGTCCTGAAACAAACAGGCCAAACAACCTTACGTCAGAAGAAGAGTCTGCTAAAGATAACATTACTCTGGGTATGTGTGCTATGGGGGGGGGTGTCAGTGCTTTCAAAATCAATCTATTGCTGCTATGTAAATACCAATCCTGAAGATGGATTTGGTGTGTGGAAACTGGGAAGAAGCTCTTCACTTCTCTATCAGCCCTGCTTTGAAATGTCTTAACTTTGCTGCTGCCCTCTCACACACAGTTTTCTCCACCCCCTTTAGTGGGTAGAATTCCTAAATTGTGTGAAGTTCTTTATTTCCTCAGCAGTTATGACTTGATACAAAAGCAGATCTGCATATTCAAGTCACTGTAATGGATATTATGTTACTTATTACTTGTGCAGTAATTATTATGGTAGTGAAGAAATATCAACTCTGGCTGAAACTGTTGGTTTAAGTACTTCTCCAATTATTTGTTCACACATATCCATCATTTTTAAGTTTGAGGAAATTAAAGAAGTTCCACAAATTGATTGAATTGTTTTGAGGTGTATGTGTTAGAATCTCACTGATCTTACCAATTTTCCTTCAAGAAACCATTGAATTTTCCTTTTCTGCTGTTAAGTCACACCAGTAGTCATTATGTACTGCATGCTGTGATATTTGCTCTGATTATAGAATTGCTTCCATTACCTACGAAAGAAAGGAGGGAGGAGAGAGAGGAAGGAATAAACTTTTAGGTTACGATATAATAAATTTAGTAGATCAAAAGTTTATGATTCTACAGCAGCATTAAGTTAACTGCAGCTCATAGCAGGAAAAGGCTTTTTTCATGTTTTGTATTTGAATTCAAATTAAGTTGATATTTCATGTGTTCTAAAGGAAAGGACCAATCTGAAATTCCAGATGCAGTTCGTAGTCATCTAAATAAGCTCTTATTTCCCAAGAGTCAGCTGTCCCAGCGTTTTAAGCTGCTCCAACAGAAAGCTGAACTTTTAACAGGAAACATGGCACTGTATTTTAAGTAGTAGATGTTTTTATAACATAAAGGTTCCAGGTTAATTATCCAGGTTAATTATTATTTGCATATATATATACATGTATAATTTTTGGGAAAACACACTATTCGTGTTTAAAGCTGCAAGCAACTATCCTGTGCCTACCAGATGCTGGTACCAAAAAAAGTGGTTTAAAAAAAAAGCCAAGAGAGGCTTACAGTTTGAGGCTACGTGTGGTCACAGCAAATTGGATTTAGGAAACCCTCTTCAAACTTGAAAACATTGTTTCTATAAGCAATTTAGAAATAGAATCTTTGTGCTTTAAATGTAACTGCAATATCTCCCCATCTCTTCAGTGTCCTATAGTCCCAAACCATTTTTTTTGTGCTTTTAAAGTGGCTGAAATTCAGTACTCCTGAAATGCCTCACCAGTAATTAAAATGCTAAAATGATCTTTCTCTTTTCCTGACCTCTTCTGCAAAAAGAATGGTATCTTGATTTATACAGGTAGGTCCTAAGGGAAAGATAATTTAGGATGCAACATTGTAACTTGTAGGAACAGCAGTTGTTGTTCAAAGTAAAAGCAAAACATCCAAATTGGAAGAGTTTCTGCCCAAGTGATGGTGTGTTGGATTTTCTTCCTGTGTTGGATTTTCTTCCTGTGTTGGATTTTCTTCCTGTGTTGGATTTTCTTCCTGTGTTGGAAACTTTGTATGAAGGCCCAAAAGGGACTCAAATGACTTCTGTTTACAGAGTATAAATTGTAGAATCCATTGACTTTCAACATAGTTTTATCAGCACCATCACAAAGTCTGTCCCTAAACTTATTCTGACAAAATGACAAATCAAATTGTTTCTTGAAGTCGTTTTGTGTAGAGTTGAAGAATAATTTTATGTACTGTTAATGGTATTATGTTTGAAGAAACCTGAACTTTTTTAAAACAAAATGTTTCTTCCTATTTACTAGACTCATTATTATACAATATATACAGAAAAAAAATCTCATTATGGAGGGACTTCTTAACGTTGAAATTCTGTTGTGTTAACTATAATTGAGACTCTTGGTAATTTTTGAAACAGGATCTGAGGAATCTTTTCACCCACTGCCACTGGAATCTACTCTGAGCGATCAGTGTCCAAATGCTGATCAGGTAATGGACCTCAATGCTGTGTTACCTTTTGAACAAACTTCTGAAATTAAAGAGCAGGGCAATGAGAACTGTATCTCATCTGCCAGAGAATACGAAGAACTGGCGAGAAATGTGGAATGTATTGATCCGCAGTGTTCAGTGGAAGACCTGCAAAATGAAAGTCTGAATCCTCTGGAAGAGCAAAAATCATTTTATGAGCTAAATACCACACCAGTTCCAGTGGATGAAGCTTTCCCTCAACACTTACTAAAAGAGACTGTGTCTTCTGAAAAATTATCTGTGAGAGCATTCGGTAAGAAGTATGTGAAGCTTCCTGAAAGATCACTTCATATACATGAAGCAAATAAAGCTGTGGAGCTGGATTCTCAGTGCAATACAAGTATTACAGAGCCAGATCAAGGCTTTCCAGAAGTAAAAACGTCTTGGTGGGTTCCCAGAGAAACCAGCTTGGAAGACTCAGACATCCATTTACAGGCTGTTGTACAACAGAGTGGTTCATTCCTGGAAAGACAAGAAAAACACTTCAATTCTGTGCCCAGAAGCTCGTGTTGTATCCCAGTCTGGGTGAGTAAAACAGGCTTCCACAAGCAGTAATTTGTGTGGGCTTTTTTGCTGTGGATTTTTTTCCCTGTTGTTGCATGAAGTTATTTTAGACCTTTAATGTCTGAAAACTTGGCAAATGTTGATTTTACAATTCTAGTTTAAGACTTCCATGTTTCCTGAACTTCTGCCCTAGTGCTTCTTTCAGATCATAGCACTGAAATAATGAGCAGCAGCTAAAATGGGCTGGAGCTCCCATGGTTGTTGGAGGAGCTGTAGTGCCTGTTGCAGCGCCCTCTCTTAGCATCAATTGGTGTAACATAGGCATCTGCATTGCATGGCATGGTTACTTAACTGAACAGCCCCTATCCCTGTTTAGAAGCCTGAAGAAGGTAATTTATTTAACCAAAGCTTAAGCAAACAGAAGAAATAGCTTTGTCGCTTTAAAAAAAAAAAAGTTTGCCCTAGAACTGAGTAATTTAAACTTGAGGAGAGTTAAGGAGAGGTGGAGTTTTTGCTGTTGGCTGGTTGGTTTGGGTTATTTGTTGTTTTTCTGTTTGGTTTTGTTTAACACTGGTATATAAACTTTGCATTGGACTTTGGTTCCAGGGTTTGCATTCATCTGAACCTCAGGCAAGGTGCTCTTTCAGTACTTCATGTAGTGCTTGGGGGCAGATTTTCTTTCTTCTACATAGTGAACAAGCCCCATCTTTCTGGCAAGATGACACCTGTTGCAATTGCTGGAAATAGTGATTTGTTTTTTATTTTTACACTGATGTCTTGTATAATTTATTTTCTAGGAGACTGACTTAAGGCGTGGTATTATGGAAGAGCCTGAACTCACTCCGATAAGCTCAACTGACATCAGTATTGCAGAATCAGATATTGAACATACTAACCAAGAGAAAGTGAAGGAGGATAAAATCAATAACCCAGCATGTGTGAATCCATCTGAGTTTAATGTTTTTACTGAGGTGGGTCTTTATTATCTGATGTAATTCTGATTTTAACTTTGTCTTAATCATAGTAAGGAAAGGTCCTGCTGTAGCACTTAATCCACACTGTTGCAAAATGGGAGAACGTTAGAGTTGCCTGAGCTCAGAAATTGCTTGGATCATCTCAGTTTGGTTTTATGTTTACTGGACAGATGCAATAGGTCTTAAATTTAGGCTATTATTTTAATCACTGCCTTGTCATATCAGTGTAGATAGACTTTGGGAAGATTTTGCTGAGAAACGCAATCGTCTTGCTGGTGTTTGCAAGCCTAAATTGTATCCCATTAGTTGAAGGCTTGAAGGAAAGGAGAGGGTGGGACAAAAAAAAGCTATGAACTAAAGAGGGGAAAAAGGGAAAAAATCCCCGACATAGTGGATGGAGCTGCAGCAGGCCCACACAGCAGTTTGAGGTTTACGGGGAAAATCTGATTAGCTTGTCATACTGCTGTACTTAATTTGCCTGTGGTCTGCTTTTTGCTGTTTGTTTATATAAAGCAAAGGTTGTGAGTTGTAGAGAGACTGGTTTGTAATGAGAGAGTTGTTTGGGTGCTGAAGCAGTAAAGTAAAACTGAGTAGTATGTGTCTGTTAAATGAATAGACCAGATGAAATCATGTTTCAATTGCAGAAGGCATCTAGAGAAGATCCTAAAAGTGCCTAAGGATGGTTCTTTATAAAGTAACGGAAGTGTGGGTGAGGCGGAGGTGGCAGCCGGAGGCTGTGCTTCTGCAGTGGGTGTCACCTTCCTGCTAAGAATGGAGAAGGAGACACAGCAATGATAGTGATGGGAAGGGGGGAGAACAGGATTAAATTATGCATTCCTGTGTTAACAACAAGCAATTGAAATCTGGTGGGCAATGTGTCTTCAATGGATTGTTTTTAAGTTTTAAAATGCTTTTAGAAAGTAGCTTTTTAAAACTTGCTCCCAAGATCCATTTCTGATGGGTTTTTTGTGTCCGCTATAAAGGCAAAAGAGTATGCCTTTTATTTGCATCTGTGCTCGTGGTACGGGACTACCACTTCACTCAAATTCATGGTATATTTTAAGCATTTCCAATCACTGATTCCTTTTGAAACAGGAGAGAGAATTTTTACCACTAGCTGCAGATGTGGAGCATTCAGTGGTGGTAAGGCCTGACCGTTCTTCCAAAGCCCAGAGTCCCGGTGACAGTCACTTCCCATCACACCAGACTGCAGGTAACTATGGGTAACTTGAGTACACTCCAGTTGAGATAGAGAAGGTCTTTATTTGTAGTATTAGAATCATTAATGAAACACAAGTCTCCTTTTGAAAACATAGTTTCTTTTACTTAGGCAAGTGCATCTTTCAGTTCAGGCTTGGTTTGTAGTACATTTGACCCAGGTTTAATGTGTCTTATTGACAAGGAAGTATTGACTTGCCTCTTCCTATGCCAGGCTGTCTTTCATGATTGTTTGTAATACCTACAATACATTGGTATTATTGTAACTGTTTAATTTTGGAAAATTCTGCGGTGGTTTGTGGTTATGCACTTTCACTTGTTTTTTATTTCCTGTTAGTCTCCAAGCTCTGCAGCCAAACCATGTCTTTTTTTTTCTATTCTGATGGTAGTGTGGAACATCAGTAAATATTATTTTTTCCTGGTCCAAGATTACCAGCAATAATATGAAACACAGGAATTGACAGAACTTAACTGTGTTAGGGACTTCTCAGGTCTGAGGTGTATTTTGAGGCATCAAGATGCTTTCAATGCAGTATTTGTCTTGGCAGACTTGCTTAACAGTTGTTAGGTCTGAATTGCTGCTTGTTTTGCAGGATTACTCGCCATTCACAATTTAATTCTCCTAGTGTTATTTACAAAAGTAGCCAAGCTCAGCATTTTAGGAGAAATCCACTGAACTGCATGACTTACTCAAGGTGGTATTGCTCATTGTTAAAAGTGAGAAATGCTCACACTTTGAACTTTCTCACAGTGATGCTGCTGGAGTTTAATTCTACACCAGGAAGTTTGCAAGAATCTTTTTTAAAAAGAAAGAAGAATTTCATCCAGAAATCTCTGAAAAGAGTAGAAGAAATAAAAAATAAAGAGGCAGAAAATGAGAAGCCAGAAGCCAGACAGTTTCAAAGAGCAAAGTCTGAGAAGTTAAGCAGGCCAAAGGATTCTTTTTGTATCTCTGGTAGGTTTATCTAGGGACAAGATACAGCATCGTGTGTCCTTTGATTTGCCCTTTTGTATCAAAGAATAGATTTCACATTTGTTGCATCTTTCTTTGCTATTGCAGACTGGGATATTTTTAAATTTGTTTTCTCAGGGATGGGGGAAGCTTTTTTCCACTGTATGGCTTCCACTTCAGGACCTTATGGGTCCTCTTCATCTGTCCACATGTTTATAGTCATAAGATGTCTCTGCAAATAGTGCTTGTTTATCAGGGAACCACAGTAAGTGAACAGATGCATCTCCAGTGTCTGTGAATGGGGAGCTGGAAGTTGGCTGCTGAGAAGCATGGCAGGCTTGAAGTAGACTGCAGCCTGGCGAGTGAGAGTGGGAAGATTTATTTTCAACACAAGATGTCATCTTTGTTGTGTCCTTTCTGCTAGCCTGTTTCTTCTGCTGTAGCATCAGCTAAAAATATTTGAAGTCTCTCGTGCTTTAGAGTTAGCTGGGCTTGAGATTTAAATTTAAGGTATGTCTGGCCTTTCTTTTTTAGGGAAAAAGGGCGCAGTTGTCAATCAGTTGAAGAAAGTAGGAGAAGTGAAGGTGTCTTCTCCAGAGGACAGGAAGACTGGAGAAATTGAAATGCACCAGCGTACTTCAAGGTATTGCATGAACACAGATGGGAGAAACTTGGATTAAGAGTAGTTAATCTGTTTCTTGTGAAACCTGCTGGTCAGTCAGGGCATTTGTGATCTTCCAGCTGGTCCCCAGGGCAGTGCTGTGTTACACCAAAATGTTGGGAGAGAGGAGCCAGGCACGTTTGATACCGGTGCCTGTTGGGAAATTCCCTGCTACAGCTGGCAGTAACAGAAGGGTGGCCTGCTCAGTTTACAGTGCTAAGCAGCTGTGCCAGTTAATGCATGAAACTAGAGTAAACTTGAAACAAAGTTCAAAATGGTGCAAATAGAACACCTGAATGGGTTGTTTGTTGGATACAGGCAGCAGAAGAAAAATTTGAAGTGGTTCTTGATCATTGGAGAGCTGAGTCAAGTTTCTTGTTTAATTCCTAGCAACTGTGACAATATAAACCTTGAAGCCTGTTAACTTACTTCTCCTTTGCCACTTCCCTTCCTGACAAGATAGTTTTTTTTTCTACTGTTCTGACAGGCTTTATAATCAACTTGCAGAAGTAAAGGTCAGAAAGGAAGAAAAAACAAGGCAAGAAACTTACGCAAAAAACAGAGAAAAGGCTAAAGAGTTTCAGAAGGTAATAGCCTGCTGCATCTGCTTACCTGGTTATTTTTAATGGCTTCACTGAGCTCTAATCAGCCTGAGACACAGTTCTGTGGGGTGAGTGCAGCTGAAACAGAGACCATCAAACCAGTCTGGGTTTTGAGGGATGCTGTTGGCATATCCCACTTCAGAATTTCCTTGTCAACACCATGACTCTGCTTGCTAATGTGAGCTAACTCCTAGGGCTGAAATTTTCTCTAAGGGATATCTGCCTCACGCTGAATTTTTCTGGTGATGAGGCTGGCTGAGAAAAAAGGCTGCTGGGGACTCTTAAGTTGCCAGAAGGTCCACTTGGCAAAAGAATGGCAGGCTTTTTTATTAGTTTTGGATGGGTTTACTGGCTTTGTTGGCTACTTCAGTTAATTTAAGATTCTGCCTAGCTGAGTATACCTGGTTGCCAGAATCCTGTCTGGTTTGCCTGCAGTTGCTCTAGGGGGTTGAACAAGGATGGGAGTTAATTCTCCTTGTCCTCTTGCTGGGCCTTAGACAACAGGAAGTGCATGCTTGGTAATCCAGTGCCACAGTTTAAGCCAGCAGACTGGGAGTGCTACTAGGGGCTCTGGGCCCAAATGCTGCCTTTAACACTGACCACCTAACTGTTTTTGTGAATAAATTGCTTTGTTTCAGTTTTCATAATTAGAAAAATATGTGAAACAAGCACACTCCCCACCTGAAATATGTGGGTTCAGAAACAGAACTTGTTGTCCAGCCTTGCACTGTCCATTGGTGGTGCTCAGGTTACACAGGAGCAGTGCTGCAGTTGTGTCCACTTTACACATTTTTTAGTGTAGTCACTTAGGCAGCACTGCTGTAGTCTCATCATTTGTTGTATTGGCAGAAAATGCTGGAAAAACTACGAGCCAAGAAGACTTTGAAAGCACCATGACTGGTGGAAGACTTGAGCACCAAGGAACACCACTGTGTTGGTACAGTCTAAGAGCCACTGAATAATGCAGACTTCATCAAGTTAATTGTGGAGCCATTGGGAATCCTTGGCTTCAAGCTGTAGGAAAGTTGTAAGTAAACAAATCTGTAGTACCCTCATGTTTTACTGAGATCACTACAGAAGCAAATTAACCACTGCTTTAAACATTCATCTTAAATTGAGTAGATGACAGTGAGAAAAGCCTTTCTTCATCTGCGTTAGTATTTTAAGAGATAATACGAATTTTTGTAATATACATGTATAAATTGTTTTCAAATAAATTTAAGGAAGACTTTAATCTTCAGGATGCAAGAGACTTTTCTGTAAAGCTGGAACTTTTATCTGGTCTTTGCACTACATGATTTAAGATTAGGTAGGATGAGTTCTTGCAGTCAAGAACTGCATCTTAAAGCACCTGAAGGCAGGAAGAGAATAAGAATCCTAGATTGTTACTGCTTCCAAATCTAGTTGTTCTAGCCAAGTTTCCCAAGCGCTAGTTCAGAGCTCAGTAATCAGGACAAATTCAAAGTTCAGTTTTTGCTATGAAGTTGAATTTGGTTAGCAAGTAAAATAGCAGGGCTTTTTCATTAAATCTGTTAAAATGCAGCAGAAAAACTCTTAATTGTTCATCAAAAAATAAGCTATAATTTAGGCTTCTTTTCACTGATTTTTTTTTTTGCAGTCCATGGTGCAGCTGTATGCACTGCAGTAGCTAAAGCAATTTGTTATACCACCCCCAGTAAAGAGCATAAGCCAAAAGCAGCTTGTCAACTCCATGGATTTAAGTGGAGGCTTTTTGCAATGCAGAGATCAGAGGTATGGGATGTGTAGTCTCTTACCTTCCCCCTTGTGGTTCTGCGAGGGCTGCAGAGGCTCTTACACATGAATATTCTCAGAACTTCACTTTGCTACCCCCAAGCCACAGGTAATCTACCACCATGATTTGAGGGCCCAATATGCAGACCTGACCCTC